TAGTATTCCATTCAAAATTACATAGGTGTATACAATTTATTTGTAAACGTGCATAAAGAGATATATGGAAGGGTGTTCACCAAACTATTATTTTTACAGTAAGTAGGGCTGCCATTGAGAGGAGACCCCAGTGAGATGTCTAGGTTCTAGTCAAAATCATAGGTGAAATAACCACTCCATATCAGAAACACAGTGTCTATTACATCCATTTCTACCACTCACCAGGGGCTGCTCCCGTCCCTCCCTTTGAAGACTCATTACCGAGCATTACACTTATTGGGAAGGAAGCCTAGTGTGGAGACAGGTCAATGCTTTGGAGCTCAAGTGCCAAAGCCAGACTGCCTGGATCCAAATTCCAGGCCTGTCACTTACCAGCCACGTGACCTTGAATCAGTTACCTCATACAGTGGAATGCTCACAATTGGGTGGGAAAAGACCCTGAAATAGCCATGTAATTCCTGTGTCCACATAACACAGAAATGCAAAAGTCTGTAACAAGACTTACAGCCAATTCAATGATCTCCAGGGTCCATTGGCATTAATGGGCAAGGATGGCCCTTTCTAAAAAATAATTGCTAAGGCTGGTTCTGAGTCAAGAATATACTGAAGGTTGACAAGAATGTCCTGGCTGATATCAGTGACAGGAGATCCTAAAGACCCTTCCTTGCCAGCCTATTATTCCCTGTCCTGTACAAAAAAATAGAACACTCAACAGTCATTTTAAAAATGTAGATGTATTGATAACAGATTTACTTATGACATAAACAAAAAGAAAAAGCAAATTTATAATGACATCTAGTAGGATCCTTCCAAAATTACTACATGTATAAATGCATTTGAAAATATACCTTTCCTGTGCAGCGTTCTCTGAGACACCTAGGAACTCTCCTGCCTCTGAGTTTTAAACCCTTTTCAAGATTCTAGAGTGATTTATACACTCTAGGGTATCAAGAAGGTACTTCAAGGACCACAACAGTAAGTGAGGGAGGCCTCAGAAAATAGGACCAAGTACCATTCCATCCTACACTTGCTCCAAACACTACAGCTCCCCTTATCTGTTGTAGATATTGGGCTTCTGCCTAAGATTTCATCTGAAAAAAGGTTTTCCACAGTTAAAATAAGCATGAGAACCATCGACCCTAACCTTAACTTGGTACTTGCAACATTTCCTATGGCATAGTCTCATGTAACATTACAGATGATTTTTTCACCAAAACACATGCTGTCTCCCCAAACAGAGTGGCTTCAAAGACTAGACAGGACCTTAGTCCTACTTCCTTGATTTTCCCACAATTTTAGAATGGCTTCATAGATTCTTGCTGAACGATTGAAGGGTTCTTCCACTAGGACATCCATGTTTAGGAGAGATTGTCAGCTAATCAACACCCCAGATAGTTCCATCCAAGACTAGGACACAGTGGTTTACAAATTCTCATTGGCTCCTCCCATGCACCGGAAATCCTGTTTTACTATTATCTCCCACAAGACACATCCTTTTCAGAAGCACTTTCTAAAGCTTTCAATAACCATTTGAAATAATATTTGATACCAATTAATTGTCAAATACAGTATTATGCTCAAAAGTAAATTAACTACAGGGGCCTGGGCTTAGGTTAGACTTAAACATTAGATGTGGAAGAATAAAGAGCTATGCTGTCCAACGTGGGAGCCACTAGCCACATGTGACTATTTTTATTTAAATAATTAAAATTAAATAAAATTTAAAATTCAGTCACTCAGTTACTCTAACACATTTCAAGGGCTCAGTAGTCACACATGGTTAGTGGCTACTCTACTGGACAGTGCAGATACAGAACATTGCCATCATCATAGAAAGAGCTATTGCATAACATTAATGGAGAGGCCACCAAATTTATCATCTCATAAAGTGCTCTGAAGAATACTGTCCTGGTAAGATGCTATGATCCTGGCTAAATTAATCTGGAAAACTCTGCATCCTAAACCCCCTGCCTTATATATTAGAATATTAATACTATGAATCTCCAAGACTCCAGCTGTAGCATCAGATAGATCTGAGCTTGAATCCCAGCTCTGCCAGTTACTAAAGCAGTGTGACCATGGGCAGCTTACCTAACTCTGAGCCTCAGTTTCTTCATTTGATCAATGGGAATAATAGAACTCCTTAGGATTGTCATGAGAATGAAATTATACATGTAAAACTTGTCAAAGTGCTTCACAAACAGTGAAGTCTTCGCAAACATAAGCTATAGTAATTATTACTTTTTTAAAGTGCAGAGAAGTCCTATTTAACTTTGTTTAATCCAGCATTTCCCAAGTTTACAACCACCAAAATTTTTTGGAAGACATGGAAGACAGAATAATAGCCCCCAAAGATGTCTATGTTCTAATCCCAGGAACCTGTGAATATTTTACCTTCTATGACAAAAGAACATTGCAAATGTGATTAAGGTAAGGATTTTGAGATGGGAGGATTATCCTGGATTATCTGAGGGGTCCAGTGTAATCACAAGGGCCTTTTATAAGACAGAGGCAGTAGGGTCAGAGTCAGAGAAAGAGATGTGATGAGGGGAACAGAAGTCACAGAGAGAGAGAACAAGACCGAGAAAGGAAGTTACTGTGCTGCTGGCTTTGAAGATGAGGAAGGGGCCACGAGCCAAGGAATTCAGATGGCCTCTAGAAGGTGGAAAAGGCAAGGAAATGGATTCTCCCCTACAGCCTCTGGAAGGAACACAGCCCTGCTGACACCTTGATTTGAGGAATTTTGATCTCCAGGACTGTAAGATGATCTATGTTGTTTTAATTTGTGGTAATTACAGAAACACTAGGACACTAATACAAAATACTTGAAAACACCTCTCAAGATACTGATGTCCCATTGGGAGCTGGTCAGGTGGGAAGAGCTGGAACCAGAATCAGGAATACAAGGTCTGTCTCAGCTCAGCAACTAAGCAGTTTTGTAACTACCAGCAAGTCAAAACATCTGGGGCGCTTCAGTTTCTTCTACAAAATGATGACATTATCACCTCCTTTACCTAATTTCCAAAAATTTTATGAAGGTAAGAATTATAGACATACTTCATGCGAATATCTCAAACTTGCATATTTCAACTTCTCAACTACAACTACTGAGCAAAAGGGTAAAATAATGCATAAGGTGGAAAAGTTTTAGAAGAAAACTTTTAGGAGAATTTCCTGAACTTTCAACAAGGATTTGTGATGAGGGACTGAAAAGTGTTAAAATTTTGTACTTTAATACAATCAGCATAAAAGCTGATTGATGAATAGTCTGTACATCAAGGTACAGAACATTTGCAATCAAGTTCTAGCCTCTCTTCCCCTCTATCAAAACATCTCTTCTTTCAAAGATTTAGAGTTACGATATTTTGTTGTTGAGGAATGTTAAAAAAAAAAAAACTTTTTTAACTTTTTTCTCCCAAGAGTAAACATAAATGGCAAGATCTATAGACCATAAGAGCTCCCTCCCTGCCGTTTTAAAAAGGAAAGCAAAGTCCAAGACTCAGGGATGGCAATGTACTCTCCTTTCTTAATATGCCACCAAAAAATCAGGTTAGCGTCGATCTCTGAACACTGTGCATTCCTTCCCCAGCTCATCCAGTCCCAGGAAACATGTGTTATGATGCCATGCCGCCTGCTGGATCTGGTAGTCATGGAAACAGCTCTAGTCAGTGCTGAAGACAGCATCATATCTCCACTAGCCACTCAGGCTGGGCAGGAATGTGGAAAGAGGAAAACACCAAAAACTACTGAATTGTACGTTTTCAGTGGGAGAATTGTGTGGTATGTGAATTATCTCTGAATAAAGCTCTTTTTTGAAAAGAAGAATGTGAAAAAAATTCATTGTACAAGGTGATTGGGGCAATGGAATTTTGATTTTAACAGCCAGACTTTCCTCTAAATGATGGGACATGTCATTCAGTAGACCCACAGCAAAGGATACCCTAGAGAAACAAAATAGCGGTAGCAGGGATGGGCTTATTATGTCCAAAGCATGATTTTAACCATTATGGGCCCATATAGATAGTTTAGTCCCTTTTTTTGTTAAAAAGACTCTGTTCTCCTAGGACAACATTTCCTTATAGAAAGCAGACTTGTGTCTTCATTGTGGCGCAATCAGTCCTTAAGACAGTTCTCTCAGGTCTTTTTGGTTGACCAGGGCATCTCATTACAACAAAAATCATAGCTGCAATTATAATTTGCATTATAACAATGTCAAAATATAGCAAACTCTTGTGAAGAAAAAAAGAGGTAAAAATACATCATAGCAACCACAGCTGTGTTTTCACAGGACTACCAGTGATTTTTTTCAAGAGAAAGTTCAATGTTCTACATAATCTGGCTCAGCGCAGTTACCTTCTTGTGTTCTTACCATTCTCTTGGTTTCCAAAGAGCCTTCACATCTACGTCCAAATTTTACCCTCCATAAAATCAAAACATAAGTTATTAACAAAGGCAAAAAACCCTGGGAGGAAAAAGTGCAAGACGATGGGAAGAACGAAAAGTTTCAACCCGACAGCTGAGATTCCTGGGTCCCAGCTCGTGTTCTGCCACCAAGGAACCGGTGACCTAGCACAAGCCACTTACTGTCTGAGCACCTGTCCCCACATCTGGAAAATGAAGATCTGACTCAGCCAATCCAAAAGGGCCTCATTTTTTAGAGACAGGGTTCAGACCTCCTGAATCCCAGTCTGTGGAATCTGAAACATCCAGGATAGCCGTCAAGTCTGGAAATATACGCCAATACACAATAAATTATTACTGATATTAGATAACTGGATAAAATAATGACCTATGTTTCCAGACTTGATGACCACATTGTCAGTTAGAGCACAATCCATCTTCTTCCATCATCTTCCCTACAGTGAGCTTAAGAGCCACCTAACCAACAGCAGAAGCAGGAGGGGGGTTGCCATCTTGTAGGAGTGGCCACTCAGACCCAGCCAGACTACTCAACACTTCCCTCAGAGATGGATCGTCACTCAGCTTGAACCTGCAGCCTGGAACAACACTCTGAGACACCAGACATTAAATAATGGGATATGCCCTTGAGGAAAGCCCCACAGCAAAGGTACTCCACGACGATAAGATACCTGCAGTCCAAAAAGGAGCACGACCATGGGACTAGAGAAAAGAACCCTCAGTGAAGCAAGGCTGTCAGCAAAGAAGGAAACGCCGACCATACATTACGGACTCTTATCTTTGGGAGTAGGAGTGAGGGGACGGTAAAGAAATTGCAAAACTGAGGGCTAACTTATCTAACGCCCACACAAATGGAGCTGAGCATGCTCAACAAGCTCACAAATGGCAGCTGCTCAGCAAAGCCCAGCCTGCTCCACTCTGCCCCACCTAGAGCTTCACCTGCAAGGTTCAAGCCTGAAAACCTATAGGTAGAAGGAGAGGTCAACTCTGAGACCCGAAGTAAATCATGCTAACTTGTCTGATAAGCAGCAGCTGTGTTCTGGTGCGTTTAGTACACAGATACTCAATACACTGCAGTGATGCGTCCCAAAAAGGCTCTGGCGAGGATGAGCAGGTAGGCGAGTGGCTGAGGGCTCAGCTTAGATTTCACTTCTCCAGGAAGCTTTGCCTGACCCTCCTCCCACCAACTCTTGATTTGCTCCAGGTGGCCTCCTCCAGACATCCACAACAGTCAGTACTCTTGTAGCACTGACCTTGACATTTCTTGTTTATTCACCTGTCCAACTAGATTGTAGCTCCTCAAGAAAAGAGACTCTACCACAGTGCATTCCCAGGGTCTAGCATCGTGCTTGGCACAGAGGAGGAAGTGGCCCAAGACACATTCACTGAAAGAAAAGTATACGGGCTTTATATTCCCAGTGGCAAAATGCTCAGTACAGCTTGTTGAGCTGAACTATACCAATTTGACAATTGCATTGCTTAAAGAACAGGATTTCATAGCTTCTTTATGGAGGCAGGGTAGCATGCCACTTATGAACACCAGCTCTGAAACCCCAACTCTGGGGTCAGACCCATGGGAGTCTCTATCCCAACCCTGTCATCTACTAGCTGTGTGATCCACAGACCCACGGGAAGTTCATCTCTCTGTGCCTTAATGTCATCATCTGAAAGGGGATATTCATAGTCCCCCTCTCCAAGAGTTGTCCTGAGGATTCAGTGCATAGACTGCTTAGCACAGAGGTTGGCATTAAGACTCGCTCAATAAATGATTGTTATTATTATTAGCCCTTCCCTGGAATGAGGATAAATTTTGTCCAGACCTGGTAAGAGGTCTTACTTACCTCTGTTTTTGTCAGAAGCCACTTAAAAGTATGCCACCAATTTGCTTTGGGTTCTTTTCAAGATTAAACTGGCTGAGGTAACTGTGCAACTTAAAATTTGAAGAAAAAAAAAGGAAAAGAAACCTACAGCTCAGATTCTCCATTGTTTTCTTACTGCTTCTCAATTTCCAGGGGTTCCCTCTTGGCGTCATCACCATGGGTGGTGTCCCCGTCAGGAGAAGCAGCCTGGGACCCAGCTGAGGCGCTTGGGGTGGTGGCTGCACTGTTGCAAGGGCCTTAGCAAGAGTCTGGAAGCACAGGGAGGCCGTGCTGAAAGCCCATTTCCAAGCGGAGGAAACCAGGCGGCAGGGCAGCAAATTCGGAGTCCCAGCTTTCTGGGTCTCCCTCTCTCCCTGCTCCCCTCGTATGTCCTCCTTTCCCACCTAGTACTGTCCTTGGCTTGGTCCTTCTAGGCCACAATCTCTCCCTGGCTCTATAATTTTTTTTTTAATCACAGTCTCAGAATAGAATATCTCCTCTACTGTAGGCTGCTCTGCATTCTAAGAGCAAAGAAATCTGCTCTTTACCTTTTCTCCATCCCAAACAACTCTGCAAAAAGCAAAAACAGCTTTAATTAACATACCATAAAATTCATTCATTTTAAGCATGCAATTCAAGGTTTTTAGTACGTTTACAGAGCTGTGTAACCATCCCCATGATTCAATTTTAGAACATTTTCATCACCCAGAAAGATGGTTAGTGCCCATTCGTAGTCACTCCCCTTTCCCAGCCCCAGCGAACTGCTAATCTACTTTCTGTCTCTATAGATTTGCCTTTTCTGGACATTTCACATAAATGGAATCTTATGATACGTAGTCTTCATGTCTGGCTTCCTTCACTTACTTTTGAGATTCATCCACCGTTGTAGCATTTATCGTTCCTTTATATTGCTGAATAGTATTCCACTGTATGAATATATCCATTTGTTTGTCCGTTCACCAGCTGGTGGACATTTGAGTTGTCTCCAGCATTTTGGGGTGGGGGTGGGGTTGTTTCCAGTTTTCATTCCAAATACTGCTCCATCCACCTCACCCATATCATCTCTCCCCCAAATCATTTCTATGAGACAGGAAAGGGGTCAAATACTAAGCAACTCCCCAGGATAAATACAAATAAGGAAACCTGACAAATGTCCACTATGCCTACAACTGAATCCTGTCTTTTAAGTGAATATACTGTTAACAAAGATCAAAATAACTTCAACTTACAATGTAAGAGAAATGTATGTGTTCATTTTCTTTTAGGTTTGCTAAGTTACATTTATCTTTTAAATGGAAATGCTGTTAAAGTAAAGAAAAAGTGAATGCAAGCTACGTATCACATTTGTCAGACACCTAGATGCATATGTGCTGATATATTGAGACAAACTGATACCTGGATTGGGTATTGAGGGTTGCAAAGCAGAGAATTCCTTTTTGCTACAAGCACGTAGTCTCATTTTGATTTTTGTGGCAAATGGTAATCCGAGAAGAAAACTCAAAAACTCATTTCCAATTCTCAAGTGATTTAGGAAATAATATGTATGTGTATGTGTGTGTATATATACATATATATGCATGGGTGTATACAGAGAGAGAAAAAGAGTGAGCAAATGTGGCAAACTGTTAATAATTGGTGAATCTCGATGAAGTATAATTCTTTGTTCTGTTCTTGCATTTTTCATATAAGTTTGCAATTATTTCAAAATAAAAAGTTAAAATAAATTTCATCCAAAAGAACATAGAAAACTCAGTCTTCCAGTCCTTCAGGTTAAACACTTTGTCTCTAAGTGGGTCACCAGAGCATTCTTGCCTGAGTCAATTTCAATAGATTTGAGGAGAACCATATGACAGTCTTTAGTTTCTCTCAATGGTCTATTAAAAATCAAACTTCTGTGATGGTAAAGGCTTCTTGAACTCATGTTGCCTTTTGTCTTCTGTATCTTCAGGAGCCATGGGAGTCATAAGCTTCTAAGTCATGATGTAAAGTAGTATTTGTTTTCTGGTCTTGAACTGACCTCTTCTACATTCATCAGGTGGAACCAGCTTTCTTCTAGTTTATAATTCACACATTTATTTGCTCTAAGTAGCACTCAAAGTGTTTCTCTACACTGCCCCCCACCATTTTCCTCCTCATAAGATGGTGAGGGCCTCTGCACCCCCACAAGTAGTGTTGTTGAGGCTTAAGGATATTTCACTGCCCACAGCCCTAACTTGGGGTTACTGTGCATCGCTCCCAATTTGTTTCATAGATACAACTACTTCCCAGGAGGAAAAGGAAACCGAAAAGGAAACCCAGCACCACCAACAGCTTTCCCAACATTCAGTACGTATTTATTGAGTTAGTATTTATTTGTGGAGTTCTGGGGTTTCGGGGAATTTTTAAATGTGATCCCCTTAGTTTCCAGAAAAAAACTGGTGAAGTAGTTAGCACCAGTTAGTTAACTAGGTAGTTATTTGGACTCACAGCCCAGTACACTCTCCACCGTACGCTACTAAGCATTTCTGACACAACTACACGCAAGAGTAGGACAAATCTTCATTTCAATCCCACAAACCCCTTTCCTGGAACAATTCTGTAACCGAGCGAAAAGGGGCTAGTTCTGCTCACTGCAATCTAGTGCCAATCAATTGCAGACAAGCCAGTGGTTGAGAAAAGAAAGTTTATACGATTAGCTGGCATCATCGGAAGATGGTGGACTAGTGCCCCAAAGAAGCATCTTAAGATCACACAGAATCCTGAGGCAGCTATGCAGGGAGACGGACAGGGAAGGAGGGGGCTTAGGGACGTCAACCAACCGGTGACAAACTTCAAGGCACCGCATTCTCTCTTCTGTCATTTGTGATGAGTTTTTCTTTCTGGAGGTCGTCATGTTCCTGTGGAACTCAGAGAATAAGGTTGTCTTATCATAGCTGGGAGATTTATGTAAGCAAGAGTCATAGAACTAACAGATCATGTATTTTGTAAAAGCAGGAGGTGCTTAATCATCTAGGCTATGACCAGGCTAAAATGTATTCAGAGACTAGTGAATCAGGATCATAGTTACAGTGTTGCTTCTTTTCCCTAACATGGCTTCCTTCACGTAAACTTAAGATCTGGCTGTTACAATTCTAGCTCCTTTGATCTCTACAGCATCTTTCTACTGCCCATTATAATATTTCAAGACTGGTTCTAGAATCATCTTATGCAAGAATTTTGTCTTTTCCCAACTTTAAAGTGTCATTTTCTATAAAATCTCTTAAATACCTTTCACGTAGAAATTGTTTATTTCTTGTCTCAGTAAATCCTTTAGGAATTCTCTCTGAAAAGCAGCTTAATTCAAAATTTGGTTGCCTTAATCACCGCGGTTGTTGAAAAGTCTTACTAGGTTTAAACCTGTTCTAATTCAGAGCTCTAAAATCACCTATAAAAAACTGAAAATATTTAAAGTCATCCATAATTAGACTTTTTTTCCCTCCCCAAAGCCCCAGTGCATGGTTGTATATCTTGTCATAAGTCCTTCTGGTTCGTCTATGTGAGCCGCAGCCACAGCATGGCAATTAACAAACAGGTTGTGTGGTTTTGCCACCGGGAAATGAATCCAGGCCACCAAAGCAGTGACGGCACCCAACTGTAACCACTAGGCCATCAGGGCTGGCTCCAGTAGACTTTTCAATAGGACTTCTTTCCAGCTTTTTTTCATTATCCAGCTCTGTGTGTTTGATCTCAGCCAGCTGTTGATGGGGCTGAAGTGGTGGTGAGGGCCGGGTAAAAGAAGAGGAAGCTCGTTTCTGCAGGGGAAAAAATAAGCAGCATCAGTTCTTGCTTTAACAGTGTGGTTCCCCAACCTGCAGTATCAACATCCCCTGCGAACTTGTTAGAAATGCAAATTCTTGGACCCTACTCCAGACTAACTGGATCAAGCTATCCAGGTGATTCCTGTGCAGGCTTAAGTTTAAAGGACTCGATTCAGATATAGTGTTTACTGAATTACAGACCACAGCCAGGATTTTACAAACGGCTGGTTGAAAATAATTGCCTTGACTGGCTCTAGTGACCCCCCAGAAACATATCCCACTTACATGTATGTTCTCCTCATTTATCATTTATGGGTATACTGGTTTTTTTACTACACAGGGCTGCCAGTTTGACATTAGACTTGCTAATGAGCAGTAACCATGTGCTCCTGCGGCCTGTCATTCAGTGCAGTCAAGGTGAATCACAGGCAGCAGAGAAGAGCTTAGCAGTCAACCTTCTTCCACATCCTGCTCTCAGGAAACAAGCAAGAGGAGGAGCCAGAGGTGTCATTTGACACTGATGACAGCGTATTTATTTCCTATGCAAAACAGCCAAGGCAAAAAGACAAAGAGAAGCTAACTTCTGTAAGAAGGAGCTGGATGGAAAAGGTGATGCTGGCAGCTGCCTTTGCAGACTCCAACTCCAGCACCATGAATGTGTCTTCTGCTCACCTCCACTTTGCTGGAGGGTACCTGCCTTCTGACTCCAAGGACTGGAGGACTATAGTCCCAGCTCTCTTGGTGGCTGTCTGCCTGGTGGGCTTCGTGGGAAACCTGTGTGTGATGGGCACCCTCCTTCATCGTGCTTGGAAAGGAAAGCCATCCATGATCCACTCCCTGATTCTGAATCTCAGCCTGGCTGATCTCTCTCTCCTGCTCTTTTCTGTGCCTGTCCGAGCTACAGCATACTCCAAAGGTGTTTGGGATCTAGGCTGGTTTGTCTGCAAGTCCTCTGACTGGTTCATCCACACATGCATGGCAGCCAAGAGCCTGACAATCGTTGCAGTGGCCAAAGTATGCTTCATGTATGCAAGTGACCCAGCCAAGCAAGTAAGTATCCACAACTGCACCATCTGGTCAGTGCTGGTGGCCATCTGGGCTGTGGCCAGCCTGCTACCCTTACCAGAATGGTTCTTTAGCACCACTAGGCATTACGCAGGTGTGGAAATGTGCCTCATGGATGTACCCGCTGTGGCCAAAGAGTTCATGTCAATGTTTGGTAAGCTCTACCCTCTCCTGGTATTTTGCTTTCCATTACTCTTCGCCAGCTTTTATTTCTGGAGAGCTTATGGCCAATGCCAAAAACGAGGAACTAAGACTCAAAATCTTAGAAACCAGATGCGCTCAAGGCAACTCACAGTGATGCTGCTGAGCATTGCCATCATCTCTGCTATTCTGTGGCTCCCTGAATGGGTAGCTTGGCTGTGGATATGGCACGTGAAAGCTGGAGGCCCAGCCCCACCACAAGGTTTTATAGCCCTATCTCAAGTTCTAATGTTTTCCATCTCTTCAGCAAATCCTCTCATTTTTCTAGTGATGTCAGAGGAGTTCAAGGAAGGCTTCAAAGGCTTATGGAAATGGATGATAACCAAAAAACATCCCACTGCCTCTGAGTCTCAGGAAATACCAACTGGTAACTCAGAGGTCCTTCCTGACAATGTGCCATCTCTAGAGTCCCCAACATCCACACGAGACAAAGAGGAAACTGGTTCTCCCTCCTGCAGCAAAGAGAAAAGTGACAAGGCAGAGATTCCCATCCTCCCTGATGTAGAGCAGTTTTGGCATGAGAGGGACACAGTCCCTTGTGTACAAGACAATGACCCTATGCCCTGGGAACATGAAGGTCAAGAGACAGGCGGAGATTGTGATAAATAGATTAAGTTTCAAAGCAAATGCGATTATTGTATTTACTTGTACTGCTGCTTATCAATACTGCTGACTTTACCATATAAAACATGCTAAAATTATTACTGTTAAGAACTACAAAAATGCTTCACAGTCTGCATTTTCAAACTGTGCAACTTGGTAAGTAGAACACCATGTTAGGAGTAATAATTATGTTTCAGAATTATAACCTGGCTGCCTAAAGAATTAACCGTAAGTGTTCTATGAAGATGCTCCTGCCACAGTGATTAGAAAGCCCAGCTATTTTGCCTCTTGTTCACAATGGCTGTTTTCGGGTACTTTTTAGCACCAGCCCTTTACTGGTTGGAGTAGAGCTTATTGTCAAAGGCTAAATAAACCCCTTTACCTTTAGTTTCCTCCTGAATGTGCTAGCTCTAACTTCACCTATCAAATTTTATTTCACATAACCAAAGCTCAAAATCTATTTCCAATTAAGAGATTTTACTTTAACACATTAACAAATAAATTTTAATGTTATCTTTTTTTTAAAAAAAATCTTAACTTACTTGATGAAAATCCATACAGAATTTCCATGACTGAAGGCTGCAGAATAAGGACCAGCACCTTATTCTCATTCTGGGCTAATTTCAAACCATGGCTTATTTTGGCTAAGTTCAGGTAAATTCAAACTTTGCCATATACTAAAACCTGCTTCATTGGTCTTTTTAAGCCACCTCAGGGAGACTTCAGTTTCTGAGGATTTTAGCAGCTTAGCATGCCATTCTATTTTGATATGGAGAAAGAACTTAAAGACTATCCTTCCTTCTCTTCCCAATTATCTACGCTTCCAAATGCAGGAAACAGTTACTCTTCTACAAGCTAAAATCAATCTGTCCCAGTATCTCTTTTCTCTCAAGATACACTATAAGCTATGGTAAATGACAGAGGTATTACCTACTGAAGGCAACCCTCAAAATACAGATACAAAGGAGGAATAGAGATGGTGCTCTTTCTTGTTAAATGATATTAAATGTTTCCATATATTGAACTTGAATCATGCCCAACTTTTAAAACACCTCAGGGCTTTTAAGCTATAAGGGTAATCAAGAGTAACCAGAAAAAAGAGAGATTCATATGGAAAAGAGAAAATTCAATGGACACAAGACAGATAATCTGGCTAAGAATAGAAAACAAAAAGCATGAGGGCAGTACAGAAAGAAAAACAATAAAATTAAATGTTGTGTTCCCAAACATATTAACAGTGTAATTTGAATAACAGGCAATTACTGTTCATTTTACAGCACCGTAAAGCATACGTAATGACTCTGATACATTTATTCCCTTATTAAACATAATAAGGACATTTATCCATGATTCTTGATTACTTTGTTATGGAAATCCTGGGGTATTTTCACTGAGGGTTTCCCTCAGAAAAAACTGCCTTTAGGGTAAGCAATGGAGAATTTGAAATATAAAAATATGCTGTGGACAAAATTTTTATTTAAAAAAAAATGTTCAGTGTGGGTTTTTGGGGTTTACTTTTTTTACAAATGGTTATGGTTTGTTTTTTTAACACAGAAGATATGGCTATTTTCTTTTCACTTGGTTCATTACAAATTTTATTTTAAGGCTCACAGGATAACATAAAGTACAATTTATCTCAAGTATAAAAAATAGTTTTGTGAGACAATAGTTATACAAAGGGATTACCTTTAAAATTGTCTGTGATGAACTATTTGAATTAAAGATTTTTATGTTCATTATATATAATAAATGTAGGATGTAAAGCTTCCAGTGTCTGACATTTTAACTTGTAAACAAATAAAACAATTATGTTTTACTTCAGATAGTTCTGGCAACTTAAAGCTGTCTTTGTCTTGAATGCTCCTTTCAAAATCATCATTTGGCACAATGGGGCTTCATGGGGAGGTCAGACCTTAACACTGGCATTGGGCTCAGGGTAAACTGAATCACGTATTTTAAAAGCGTTTGCTGATAAGCACCAAATCAAGATGCAGATACTGACACACAGTGTAATTACAACGAGCATTTGATTAAGAACCTAATACACAAAGTCCTGACTTGATCCCTGTAAGAAATCTGCACAGAAAAGTTTGATTTGCACCTTATATGAACAATCAATCCCAAATACTTTATGACAAAAGCAGGACATTATTAGGATAGATATCACCAAACCATTTTCTTCACACTTCTCTACTGTGAGAAGCAGAATGTAGTGGGGAAACAATACTACATGGCATTTAGAATAACAAAAGAAAGCATTCTAGAAATCCACCTTTGTAGGGCACTCATATTTCTATAATAGTTGTGTTCCTTTTGGCAAACACTCAGTTTCACTCCTCATAGAACTTAGAAATCACTCAATGAATTTATAAAAATAAATTTCAAAAAAAGAGAAAAAAGTACCCTATTAATTATCAATTTTACAATTTAAGACCTTAGTCAGATAATCAATTCCAGGTTTCTACATACAGAGTTCATATACTTTCTGTAGCACTTCATATATTTAAGCTAAGTAGTCAGTAACACAGATGTGAATGTTTGTGTGTGTGTGATGTGTGTGTGCACATAACACAAATACAGATCTGGTGATATTCCTTCTTTTTAGGTTTTGTTGAAACCATAGTAGGTGTGAGATAATAGGGAAAATAAAATATCCTATTAACATATGTTTCTTAAGCATTTTATTCATTTACTACTCTGAAACTTGCAATCTATAAAGGACTGAAATAGAAGGGGTTTTTAAACTGGGGAGATAAAGCTAGAAAGAGCAACTGGGAATCAAAGATAAGATTCATGGTATGATGTGCTAACACATTAAAAGGATGCCAAAAAAGCATTGATCATTAATATGTTAATATAAAAGACAAAAACAAGAAAACAAAAAAATCAGCATCTTCTTGCTACGAAGCAGTAAGATTTTGCTAAGAGACTGAGCACCAAAATGGTTCTTCACAAACTCCTTCCCTTTTATACTGCAGATAATTTATTATTACATTCAGGTCTTTAAAAACTGTGTGATATTCAAGACTTAAAGTCACCTTTCTTTGTGCCACATTACATTTGCTGCTGCTTTTAAGAAAAGGTTTAAAAGAAATTTTTATAAATTATGTTAACAATAATCATATACAATCCACATATATAAAAAGGGTTGGTTTATTGTAGTTCAAATACATAAACTGAACATTCAAACATCTTAAAATTAAACTTTAGAAACAAAAGTTTAACATTCAAACAGGAGTATAGTTTACAGGGAACACCCAAGAAAGGTAATTTGTTGTCTAATCCAGAATATTGAGAGATCACTTAATGGTGAATAAAAATGTGTTTAACCAGCAGTCCTATTCTGGCCAATATGTTAGTTATGACCGTGGTTCCATACCTGAGAAGAAATTACTAAATAAATCTTCTCTTACGCTAAACAACAAGACGTGGCCTATAATGCAGAGGGGATAATCAAAGCACATAAGTGAACAAATAAAACTAAAGTGTTCTTTAGAGACAAAGGTAAAAGTATGTCCATTATAATAATCTTAGCCTCTGGAAGATAAGAATTCAATTTTCAGTGTTTTCTCTTTTACCCGCTTTAAAAAACAAAATCGAAATAAAACAAACCCCAACTTAGGTTTTCTTGGAGTCTGTGGTATTTGCATCTTGCAAGTTCAAACCACAAATGCTCTCACGTCTTGCATGTATAACACTGCTAGAAAGAACGTCACCAAAGTCACTGACTTCCACACCTCATAAAAGGATGATTTTTAGCTTCAAGATTTTAGATTTACTAGAGACAGCCTATATTTGAGTATGTATGTCAGTCATGCCACACAAAGAAAAGCATAAATATTTCCAAAGTGTTCTCTGTTCAGAAACTGATCATGAATGCTTCTCCTCCTGTTCATCAGATGATTTTGAATAGTTTGACTAATGCACATACATGTAAAAACCTGAAAATTGGCTCATGCAAGCGTTTTGAATTAATAGATACCCCCGTGGAAGAGTTTTCAGAATTATTTTGTTGATCGTCTTGTGGGCTCTGATGCCGTGGGAGGTGGGGGTGGACCCCGGCGATCCAGGTCATCCACATACGCCACAATCAATTTACGCCTCTCCTCTGGCACACAGTCTAGTACTAGATACCGTTTGTCGTTCTGCAAAATTTTTTCTACATCTTTCAGGTGCTGATCAGATTCCTGAATTAGCTTTTTGGATCTGAAAGAAGAAAAGAAGTCGAAGAATTACTGCCTGCTGTTCCTAGGTCTTTCAGAAATGAGCTGGAAATGTCCATCTAGTTCCTAATTGTGTTTCCATTTTTATTTTTTTAAGAAAAACTGCACTGCAGTGGTCACCTTTGTAAGTCGCCTCAGCAAAGACTCCAAGGAGTGAAAGGGCCTCAGAAGCTGAATTACCCTCCCGCCCCTACTGGTGGTCCCTCCAGATCAGGGCTGAGGGTGGGTGGGTAAATCTCGCCCGTGCTGTACCTGTTCTGTGGATGAACAGAGGACTTCAGTCTGCGGGGCTGCCAATCCCAGCATCTTTCACAAGCTTTCACTTTCACATCTTTCACTAAATTAACTATAAAAATGTAGAAAGAAGTCTTACTTCACATCTAATTTAAAAGCCCAAGCTGATGCAAAACATTAAGGATCCTGACCAAAAAATCCAATGACAAAATATCTAAAAACCACACCCTCAGCACTATCTATCCTCCCGTGCACATACCCTTAAGATGTTTCAAATTTTTCTCATAAAAGAAGAAAAGCTGGAGCATGAAACAAAAATGGTTTCCTGCATACTGATTGATAAGCAATGTAAAATTGTTTTGCTGATGATAAATTGTTGGCATGGGGAACCACTGGATAGGTCACAGAGAAATCTCGTTTTAAAGCTCTGATTTTATCATTTAAATTTTCGTTTACAAGTATCCAGCAAACTCCTTTCCTCTGAGAAAAAACATTTTTTGCTGAGCTTAAATAAGATGATTTCTAGCTGTAGAAGGGTTCAACAACACTGAATAGTCTTCAGAGGAGGCAATGGTAATTGACAGTGAAGAATTATTTAAAAAGTCTCTTCATGAAATGCAATTCTTATATACTTGGGGAAACTCCTAAAAAAGCAGTGAAGTAAAAACAAAAGTATGTTTAAAAAACTAGATGGGTGGGTAACAAAATAAGAATTGACATCTGGGCCCTTTCTTAAAAAAAAAAAAAAGGTACGATAGATATGGGCTGTATTTGGCCTTTTTGATAAAAGTTGGCTGCTTCTTATTCCTAAAAATTAATAATGTCAACATGTGTGTGAATGCAAAGTTTGCCTTGGCCATTAGAGTAAGAGCTAGTAAAGACAATGACTGCCGATATGAAACATTTCATGGCACACACCTATATGTTATAAATTTGGTCTCTTTCAAAAGCGTCCTGAAGTCAGCTTTGGCTGTGATGTATTTGTCTCTGATGTATTCTTCAAATTCTCTTTGTTTTTTCTGCAAAAAGACAATAAAATTAGAAAAAAATCCACTAATTCCAAAATTAGTATCAATTATTTACTAAACCAGTAATTTTTAAGTTGCATCATAAAAACTGCACAAGAAAAAGGCAATATAAGGTTATTTTTGCTCATATAAAATTTATTAAAATGCAAAATCTGCAATGTACATTGTTAAGGCCAAAAGAAAGCAAGAAAGAGAAACCATATTGATATAACAGCAGTAGCTAAAACTTGAGGGCTTGCTATGTTCTACACTGTGCTGAGGGTTTTATGAAGATATCTCCTTTACTCTTCATAACAACCTCTTAGATGCTCTTAAAAATAAGGAAATTAGGGGCCGGCCCACTGGTGTAGTGGTTAAGTCCGTGTGCTCCACTTCAGTGGCCAGGGGTTTGCAGATTTGGATCCTGGGCATCAACCTACCACCACTCATCAAGCCATGCTGTGGTGGCATTCCACACAAAATAGAGGAAGATAGGCACAGATGTGAGCTCAGCAACAATCCTCCTCAAGCAAAAAGAGGAAGACGGGCAACAGATGTTAGCTCAGGGCCAATCTTCCTTACAAAAAAAAAAAATAGGGAAATTAAGGGTTAAATGTGCATTTCCTGCAGACTGTATTTATATCTTCAAGCACAAAGACACTAATGTAGTATAATTTATGGATACACTAACCATGAGATAACACCCAGAACCTAAGTTTTACTAAGCCTTTAGCTTTTCTTCTAAGGGGACAGTAATGATAGGTATAAACTCTTTGGGCTAAAACAAAGACCTTAGTATCAATTCTAAAGAGTCAGAAAAGTTAAAAAGTTAGAGACTGGCTCTCTCAGCTATCAGTCTACCCATCTTTCCTAGCCATGTGTATTTTGTGGTCTGCACATCTAATAAAATCCAACTTAATGAGGTGTGATGGGAAAGGAATATTAGATCTATGGGTTTTTGGACTCTAGACCTAGAAAAACCAACCAGGAGAGGAGAATGACAGGAAGAGAGAACAAATGAAAGGCCAAAGGATAAAATGGACTTTAGTAAGCTACACTTTCCTTGACATTGTTCACTATTTCAGACCCTAGGTGAGTTCGTTTCCCACACAGCATCAGAGTGCACCAGAACAGGGCTCAGCTTCTACAAACTGCACTCACCTGAGGTTCCTTTACCCCACAAAGTCTCGGAAGCACATAAGAACTAGAGATCACATTACGGTGTTCTGCTAGCATGGCTTAAGAGTCAGGCACTTTGACAGCCTGGGACGAACTGCCAGCCTGAATATATCTATCTAGTGGGACCTGACTATACAATAAATAGAAACTATAGCTTCATTAAATCTCTAAGATGCCAAAACACAGGATTAAAATTTTTAAAGTTTCTGTTGTGCTGTCTTGTTCATATATTGTACAACAACAAAAAAATACACTTAAAATTCAGATTTATTTCTCATACGATTAAAAGTTATTCACCTAAAATACCAACTTCATTTTGGTCAAGATATTAGTGCTGCTGATTAAGCACCCAATTAATATTTATAAATTCACAGTAAATTTCAGACAAAACCCACTTACCCTGTCACTGGAGGAGAACTTAATGCACCGAGGATCTTCTTTAATGATTTTTTTTACTTCTTTCCATGTGGATGTTAAGGTAATCTTTGAAATGACAAGTGAATAAAAAACATAAATACAACTCACTCTTACTGTGGGGGTCAAAGTGCAGCACATATGGTACATAATATTACACACTGACCTGCGATCTCTTGTAATGCCCAAGCGTAACTGGACTAGTTAGGGACAGGGAAGCAGCTTTAAGGTAATTTCTTTTTGTTGGCTTGCCACAAGAGTTATTTTCATGGCCATCCTTTCAGGGTGGCCTAAGACAATCACCTGCAAACCCTGTATCTCCATGGGCAACATCATAAATTCTGAAGAAGCCATCGCCAAAAAAGAGAGCAGATAAACAGGAACAAAACCTGGACAACAGAGTGTACAAACTGCCAAACAAGGGGGCCACAGTACCAAATTGAAAATGGAGCGAAAGAAGGAATCTATTAAATCTATCATCACAAGCGATCAATGATGACATACAGCTAAGGACATCCTGAATTACCACAGGAGCAGATAAGAATTTGAAAACTCCAAAAGGAAGTAATTTTTAAATAGTAAGAATGCCATCAACATTTTACTATAAAAAAAAAAAAAATCAGAGAAGAAAGAATCATAAAACCCACGAATTCCAGTAATGGATCTAAAGACCATGACACTAAATATCATATCAATGTTTTACTTTCTGGAATTATTAACGAAGATTCGTCTAGATTAAAATAGGAAAAGACTCTTACTGCAGAAGTTTCATCCAGAAGTTGCCTAAAGTGCTCCCTCTTCTTTTTGGTAAGTGCTTCAATGTGTTCATTAAAAAGCTTCTCTTTCTCCTCTCTTTCCAGCAAGGATCCAGATTCCCAGCGGTGATCTTTCCGGAGAGTCCTCCGAGTATCAGACCACGAAACATCTGAAGAACGTACCTTAAAACAGAGAACTGTATCTATCACCAGACAGACTTATCTTTTCATATTTCAACAACAAAAGGCTCATTTTTATTTAGCTCAGGAATGATACACTTAATAAAAGCAGCTTCTGGTGACTCCATTTTAGGTAAGAAGTCACTGAAAATCTGCTTCTTGAAGCCAGAAATCTCACCTCCCAGAGCAAACCTAAGCTATCAACTACGGGTTTAGAGGTAGGAAAGGATGAAAAGAAGGTATCTCCCATCAACTATCGTCCCTAAGAAGTTTAACAGTACATGTAGATACTCTATTTAACAGCTTATCAACTTCTAATAGGAGAACTGGATACGGATAAAAGAGGAAATACATTGTCTTCCTGTAGCACTAAGTAGCTCACAGAAAAAAAACTCAACAAATCTTGAGCTCAAACTTGGACTTATCAACTGCATATTGAAAGTGACACTTTCAAGCAGAAGCAAGAATTAACATGGTTAAGAAGATAACAGAAGACATGACAGATCTGGCTGGTTCACCAACCAGTAGAAAGGACTGCTTCATTGCTGGTAAGAGCATTACTAGTTAAGTCACAGTGCTGCCAATGCTAAGAAATATGGGAAGCCGAAAAGACAGAAAGAATGAATGAAAATATAAAAACATTTATTTAACCAACATTTATCAAGTATCTAAATACATGTCAGGTAAACATTGTGCTTGGCACTGGGAATACATAATAAATAAGACACCAGCCCTCCCTTCCTTCAAAGGGCTCGTCTTGTTTAGGGAAGACACACATTTAAGTAAATAACTGCAATAACATGGAGTGAGTGCAGCAGAGGTGTATGCTGAGCCCAAGGGTGGTAAAAGGAACAGTGAGGTCAAATCTGTCTAGAGAGGTCAGGATCAGCCTCACAGAAGAGAGATGTGAGTGTGCTCTTGAAGAATGACAAAGTTTGCCACCACAGTGCGAAGTTTAAAAGCATTCTAGGAGGTGGGATTGGCATGAGCAATGGTAGGATCTGTTAAATTTAAGTACGGTTCATTAGAGGTAAGTTCAGCTAGGTTAGAGCATAGGGAGCAAGAGGAAACCAATGGGCATAAGGCAATAGGAAAGTCGGGGAGTCAGGGAAAGAACAGAATATTGCGCTAAGGAGACTGAATCTGAAATGCAGATAACTGCTGGAAGTAGGGAGAAATTTCACTCTCTGCAAGCAACAGACAGAGTGACAAAATCAGATTTGCCTTTTACAAAGATTTCTGAGACTGCAATAAAGAGGATGAATTTGGGGAAAGTAGAAGCAGGGAGAGAAACTGTAATTGTCCAGAGAACAGAAGCAGGAAATGGAACAGAGACCAGCAGAAGCAAGGAAAGAAATCAGAAGAAGCAACAGGAGTGATGAGAAGAGCCCCACTGAAAGACAGAAAAGAAAGAGCAGGAGAGATGGTGACAAGAAGAGGAAAGAAAAAACAAGTAGAACAGCAGAGCAGTCTGGGGGCATTCACTGTAGGGACAGAAAACCCTACATACCTCAACAACCCTGGGTAATGCAGAAGGATTTTCAAGAAAGTTCCAGGCTATCTCCAACAAGCCTGGGTAATGCAGAAGGATTTTCAAGAAAGTTCCAGGCTATCTCCTGGGGTCAGTATACCTTCAGTCCTACATCTCATACCATCTACATGTACAATAATTGATCATCACAATGATGACTCTAAATCATCAAGAAAAAGATTAAATTATATTCAGCACGCTTTGTGTATTACTACTGCATCTAAGTGTGTAATAACTTAAGAACAATAAAAAATAAAGCTTTGAGACTAAAAGATTATGAATTTTTTATATATACAAAACATCTAACCTCTGAAAATGCTAAATAACTAGGGTTTTCCCATTCTAATGATGCTAATACCAAGTACTCAACTGTAAAATGCTTTATAAATAACTTACCAAATCATCCCCCTGAGAGTCAAGTTAAAGAGTACGAAACGTTCACCAATGAGGTTATATAATGGATTTTTGTAATATCCACTACTTTAGAGGAAAATATCAAAAGAGTAATATATACCATGTCAGACAGAAGAGCCTTGAAATTCTGGATAGCTTCTTCTCGTTTGTGTTGCTCTCTCTCTCGATCGATTTCTTTTGTTTGTTCTGAACGAGCCTTCTGAACCTCTCTTTCTCGTTCTCGAAGGCTTGCCTCAATGCGGGCTTGCCTTTCAAGCTCCTTTTCTTTTTCTGAGTCTAAATTCTGTAAAAGTAAAATTACATTATCCTTCTTACCCAGTGCATCAAAATATGCTTCCACAGAATAGCTACTTTACCAAATACAAAATTTCAAACCTAGTTTTTTACCAACAATATATTTAAACGCTGTACCTCATTTCCAAATCAACTACTAAAGATTCTTATATTAAGAATACCAACAAGGAAAACTCCAGACCCCAAACACCAGCAATTACCTTTATAGTGCAATTAAGGATTTTATTATTTCATGGTTACAGTACAAGTAAACACAATGGTTACCTTGGCTATTTTTTCAATGTACTGTTTGAAAAGGTCTTCTCTCATTGATGAACTATCCACAGCTTTGTAACGTGGATCACTTTCTACTTTGTCTTTTACTTTGCTCCATCGAGACTGACTGTCCAAGTGATGATTAGATAATAGTTCAAAGAAATCCGATTTAATCTGTATTTCAGAACAGGTAGTAGGTTGGGAGGAAAACAATGTGCCCATGAGAAATTCTTGATATCTAAATGTTTACAACTAGAAAAAAAGCTCACTTACCTTAAAGATGAGAATAATAACTTTTTAAATACACTCAGAGCGGAATAAATTTTAGTAAAAAAGAGTATCAGAATTGCTCTTTTATGGGAAATATAAAAATCAACACACACATAGGTTCTCATTTAAAATCTACCAAATTCAAGATAAATCATATTCTCCAATGATGATCTCAGATCTGCCATGTTTTATAAGGAACATGAATTTGCATTTATTTTTGGCTAAGATTCAGGCTTATGAACTGACAGTAAAATACTATAATATCCAGATGGTAAGAATGATTTATTTTAAAAAGTATATAAATAAAATTCTTGTTTGTTAGATAGGGGAATTTAGAAATAGTAAAGCACAAATAGCAAGTCTTATACATTACAACCTGAAACTATACTGTCAAATGTCTAAAAACAAAAAAAATAGGATAAATTTTTATATTTTGGTTAAAAAAAGAACAATGTTTGTACCCTTATATATAAGAAAGTTATATATTTCTACGGTCATAATTAATCATCACTAAGAAAACTATATTCAGATTTTCTGTACTTTTTAGCCAATAAATTTATGCCTTTAACATTATATAACTAAGAAGGTAAGTGTTAACAAAATAGTACTCTTAACAAATCAAGTACTAAGTTAGTAACATTATATCAAAGGTATTAAATAACATTAATCCTTTAGCGTCAACATATACAATACTTAGAACTCCTCTTCCAAACTGTATTTTTAATTTTTTTAAATAGGGGAAGAAAGAGATAAATGAGGCATTTATTTTCATGCATCTTTAAGGACCTGTTTTAAAATTCTGTCTCATTTAGATCATTTTGTACTCTACTTCTACCAGGGAAGTCACCCAAGGTAACCAAAGTTATTTCACCAGAAGATTCTGGCCATGTCAAGAACCTCTCCTCCCTATACGGATTAAAACTGCTGCCTTCCTACCTGACCAAGGGAATGAGAAATCAGGAATGGAATCACAATTTAAACTGTGTGGGCACAAAATAAGTGAATCATTCCTTCTGCCCATTCCCCCAAAAACTTTAATTCTCCATTAGGGGATTAAAAGAGAGGTTGATCTCCTTTCTGGGTAACACTTGTAGGGTTATAAGAAACAGAATTTCTGCGTTAGAGAATTTTTAAAAAGACAAAAGCTAACCAGCTGTGGATTTCTCCACTGTTGAACTTGGCTCTTGACTTTGTTTGGATTAATGAGAAATACTCCAGTATTTCCAGATAGTGATAAAGAAACTACTTGATGTAGTGATTTAACATAATTTTTTGGTTCATCTTGTCTAGTTTGTATCTGCATGATGAACACCAAATTCCTAGATGTATGTGAAAGTAGAAGGCAAATTTACAAAATTTATGTTAAATAAAACATGAAAGCTATTATCAAATAGGAATCTTTCTAAGTCATAGGAATTTATATTAAAACAATTTTCAAATATGAGACACAAAGCCTATATAGTAAGGATTATCAAAAAGTTTTAAAAATGTGTGATGTATAAACAAAGTGAACTTTAAATAAGTTTTACTTCCTTTCACTGTACCATGACAGGCTATAAATGGCTTACCAAAGCTGCTGTTTGTATGAGAAAAATTACTTAACAACTGCATAAAGGTCAAAAAATGTCAATTACCATTAGCAGCAATTCAAAGCCCTATTTTCCCTATTTTCATCTCTCCAAAAATGCAAGTATCTTACCATCTAGGCTGTTCAGTTTAATATGGAGACATAGGGTCTTTGGCCTAATGTAACAAAAATACTTAACTTGTTCAGCAGGAAATTTAAGAGAGGGAAGAGAGAAAAATGTCAACTTCATAAGAAGATTAACTCCATTATGTGCAACTTCAAGAGGGTTGTTCCAAAAGGTAAATTATCTGAATCACAATTGTATAACAATTGGCTACAATAATAAATAAATTGTAGTAAAATAAATGAAAACTTGAGGGTAGGTACTTTGGCAAACTAAATAGTCTAGTAAAAATAAACAGTGTTCTAGGAGCATTTTTTATAAAACGGAAAATTACCAGTGAAACATACATGAAAATGATGATTATACCCTTAGCCTGAAAATGCCTACTGAAGAAAAAAAAGGATTTCAGCAGAAGTCAATGTTCTGTGAAGGTTTTTGACCCAGCAAGTAATTACTTTTAAACTCTTACTGTTCAGCTATTGATTCAGTTATCTCAATGTTATAAAGACCAGTTAGAGAATCACAAGAACAGGAAGAAACTTCAATATGCCAACATGCTACTGGTACTGATTTCACCATTCAATTACACACAGTTAACATGTGATTTAAGAAAACAGTGTAGACAATATGCTTCATAGGAATAAATATACAGAGAAAGTCATAAAGTGATAAAACTTCATTAACCAGAAACTTCTCAGAATGTGAATATAAAATATACTATATTTAAACCCTTACTTTAAAGATTTCTGCTTTCATAGCCTAGTTAGTAATTTATTTTGCATTCTTTAAATTGGCTGAGAAGGTTTCACTTTAGTAATTTCCTGCTTTATTTTTTTTAACTTAGTAATGGTACAAAGCCAAATCTATAATGTAGAGAATTAAAATTTTATAATAAAAAGACAATAAATCTGAACATATTAGGTTGATTTAGATGTAATGTCTATTTAATTTCTTATTTTAATTAACACATTCTGGGCACAACTCTCATTACTTCATAAGGAAAAAGACTAAAAAATGTAAAGTACCGGAACTGCGGGAGGCTAAAGTCACCACACAGAGAGATACCAATTCTTTCCTCACTAGGAAATCCCATAATACTTTGCGTATCAGTGATTGACAGCTGTCAGACTGAACTGATTGACAGGCCGCACAGCACAAAACTGTCAAGTCTATCCACTTGTTATAAAACAGAATACACAAAATAGTTACAAAAGAAAATGTTTAGAAAAAGAACATTAGTTACAAATGCAAAGAGAAAAACATTCAATTTGTATAAAAGCAATCACATAATATCAATCATTTATTTTTACTTGGTTTTCTTTAATCAAATAGGTTACTACTAAAAGTCAAAAGTAGCAAAAACAATTCATTAAGATGATTCTAATTCAATATATAAAATGTTTATGTAGAACTCAATTTTGCATATTTCCTCTGAGAGGCATAATCATTTACAAAAGAAAGTTAATAGTGAAATAATTCTGGAAAAATCTACTTTGAAGCCCAATAAATCAGACAATCAGGGAATTTCAGATATTTCTGACAAAAGTTATTTCACCTAATACTGTGACTATTTTCAATGAAAGAGTCTTCCTCCCAACAAGAGTGATATTTACTTCCTTAACAACATTTCTCAGTAGAATATATAATATTTTAACTTTCTGGAATAATAGGTAACTGTAAATGTCAAGAACGATTAGGCTTCAGAGGGTTTTTCTTCATTCACAAAGCATACAGGGACACTAAGAAAGAGTAGCTGCATGTTTTGATGGTTCACGCACCACTGGTGCCTTCTCCCTACCAGTCTGCCTCCCCAGTGCTGTGCTCCTCTCCACTTCCTGACACTGCTATCAAATGACATTTGGAATTCATTAATCTTTAATAGCTGACCTTTAGTTGTGATAAGCAATAATTTATATGTAAGATATGTTTACTAAAAGATTAGAAAGTCACTAAAATGCTATCTTTTAGAGGGCAAAAAGATAAAGAAGCTTTTTGAGATTTAAATGTTACCATCATAGAGAATCTTGAAATCTTAGCAGGCACCAGTGGACAGAAAGGCCTAACAACCAGTTCTGGATTTACTGGGCATCTTAATATTAATAAAATGTAAAGCAAACATATGTAGTTTAGTGAAGCTACTAGAAATAAGCATTATGGAAGTAAAGTAATAAAATACACACATATAAACAAGTGTAAATGTTAAGTTAAAACGCTAAACAGTAAATGTGGGTCCCGTTATTTACGCCCATTTACGTGATTAGAAACACAGCACCAGCTCAGTCCCTTCCCATTCACACTCCCATCAATCACACCACTGGAACTAAAACCATCTTACCTTCTCACCTCTGGTCTTCGAATCTTCTTTCTCTTTCTTCCTTGCAGCTGCCACAAATTCATTAAACAAGGCTTCTCGATCTTTCATCTTTTCAATTGCTTTGAATCTTGAATCTTTAGCATGCTTGGCTGCAAATTCACTAAAAGTAGCTCTGTAACAAAACGGCAATTGTGCTAACTTTGATAGAGCTATTTCTGCTGGTAGAAAGATATAGCAGAAAATACCATTTTTCCAGCAACAGTATGTGCCAAAGAGACACTGAGTACCAACATTTGCCTAGCCAGTGAACAATGAGCTAAAGAAAGGAGTCAAAAGGGCTAAAGGATAAAAATGTGGCTAGAGATTTGTATACTATCAGCATTGTGTTAGGGGGGATACACATCAGAGAGCAAAGAATTTGTTTGCTTCAAGAGACTTAAGAGCTCATCTATTTCTACCCTTAGATGAGACTGAGTCTTGCTTCTAGGCGTGGTGAAATCTCACTGAATCAGCTCTCCTTCCATAAGCAACTATAAAACTGGGACAAAATACATGAAGCAACCAATTTCAAGCAGTGGACAACAGGCAGAGTAAGAATGAGGTTAAGCGCCATTGCCCTCTCCCTTAGGACAATTTCCCAGGGTGAAAAGAGCTAGAGTCCAAGCACAGCACAGTGGTCCCAACGAGGTAGAAACAGCAGAGATCAGAGTTTGGATGCTAAAATGCCAGAGGAAGAAACTATAGAGAGCACCCCAGAGGAATACCACACAGGAGTCCCCATGAGTAGAAGGCCAAGACTGAGCTGTACAACAGCAGAGAAAGGCCACTCCTGTACCAAGCTGCTACATGGGTAACCGCAAAAAAGAGATACTAGAGACGGAGTAGTGCTGGGAAAAGAACAGTATTACAACAACAAAGCCCACAAAAGATCCACAAGGGAGACAAAGTTGGGAAGTTGAGAGAAATACCTTCCACTTCCTGAGGTCCACACTAACAAAGCATAAAATCAAACCTAAAATTAAGGTGATCAGCCTCTAATTGAAGGGCATACTAAATCAAGAATCTACTCTCTTCAGGGGAATATAAGACTTCAGAGTCTCTACCTATTACCCGCAATTTCCAATATTCAATTAAAAATCACTAAACATTCAGTAAACTATCATAATCTTAATAAAAAGTTTAAAAAAAAAATCACTAAATGTTCAAAGAAACATGATCCACAGAAAAAAACATTTTGAAGTCAATAGAAACTGAACCCAAGGTGCCCAGATGTTGTTCTAGGTAGACAAATCCTTCAAAACAATTATAATTATACTGAAAGAACTAAATAAAAATAGGTCAAAGAATTAAAAAGATGGTCTTAAAGAATGAACAAACGGGAGTTTCAGCAGAAATATGGAAAATAGGAAAAAGAACCCAAAACTTGAAAGGAAAAAGTCACTGGATAGGCTTAACATGAGAGGAGAAATAGCAGAATAGAGAGTCAATGACTTGAAGTTAGATCAGTAACAACTATCTAATCAAAAGAGGACACAGAAGGGGCCAGGCCAGTCGTGTAGTGGTTAAGTTTGCACACTCCATTTCAGTAGCCCGGGGTTCTCGGGTTCAGATCCCAGGCATGGACCTAGCACCACTCATCAAACCATGCTGTGGCAGCAACTCACATACAAAATAGAGGACGAATGCCACTGACGTTAGCCCAGGGCCAGTCTTCCTCAAGCAAAAAGAGGAGGATTGGCAAAAGATGTTACCTCAGGGCAAATGTTCCTCACACAAAAAAAAGAGGACACAGAAAAAAGATTGAGGGGAGGAGGAGAACAGTCTCAGGGACATGTGAGATAATATCAAGCATTTTAATATAGGTGTAACAAGAATCCTAAAAGAGAAAGTAGTAAATCAGGGCAGAAAAAATACTGGCCGAAAACTTTCCAAATTTTATGAAAAACATCAATGTACAGATCCAAAAAGTTCAGCAAATGCAAAGCAGGCTAAATAAAAAGATGAGGTCTAAGAGGGCTAATGAGGCATAAAAAAAGAAGTTTCTCCATGAATAAAAGGCACTTACAAAACCTTCATATATTTGGATATGTTTCAATATTTGAAGCTTTCACATTACATAATAGGAATTTACCCTTATAATAAACACTCCCATATTTAGCATGTTTTTAGAGGAGAAAAATAAAGCTTATTTTCCCTTTTAAAAACTATTTAACTATTTTGCCCTAACTGTGCAAAAATAAAACACATTCTTTAGGTGTTAAAACAGATTATATTACAACTTTAATTAGAAAGAAAAAATTGACTGGTTAACTTCAAAATTTAGAATTTAAAATATCAACTGAAGATGTGGAGTACCACTCACAGCTAATATTTGCTATTTTTAAGCTTTGCTAACCAAAGCCAGACTCTAATAAATTTTTTATATGCAACTGTTATTACTCACAGTCTAATTTCGTTAATTCAACATTTTTAACAGAATATACTGCAAACCTGGTTTGAACAATGGATATGTAACTATAATAAAATTAAGGTAAAATAAAAATGCATATCCCAGAAAAGGGATCACATGCAGTACATTTAATCTGTTTTCTTTTCATGATAAATTAAGCACCTTACTTTATAATTTTAAGCTAGAAAAGGCAATTATTACGATAAAAGAATAAACTTTAAAATGTAAAATCAATGTGTAAAGTAAGAATTCAATTATTGTACAGTTATATTACTTATAATAGGTAAAATAATTAATATTTTTTACCAGAGCTGACTAAAATGAAGTTTTAGCACTAGATTCCCAGGGAGATTTTTTTATATGACTCATCTCTTAAAAAAACTGCTCCTTGGTCACAGACATGGTATAAGAATCCTTCTCTTGGGGGATGAGGGGTGGATAATCGTTGGTGGTAGGGGATAGGGAAAAGTATAGTGACCAGGAGTTGCCTATGGGCGGTGCCTGAAATTTCGATTAAAAAAGAAAAAAGGCATAAAAGAAACAGACACTAAAGTTAATTCTCCGCAGTCATTCTTTGCCTTCCAGTGCTTTCTATCTATAAACTCTACTAAAGAGTTTTGTGATTGTGGTCTTTTCAAGAGAAAATTAGGTTTCAAGTCAAAGAGAAATTTATGTCAGTGGAGAGTATTTTCTCAATTTTAAGTTTTTCCTCCTTGTTTCCTGCTACTTAGTGAAATTGATCCTAATCTCTATGCTAGCACTAAATGTATCAATACAGCAATACAACACAATGCCCCGAGTGTTAGGACTTCCAGTTATGTGCCTGATGGCTTTATTTTCTGAAGTAACCTGCATATTTCACATCACTGCAACAACTCTATCTGCCCCAAAAGAAGACGAGTAGGGTACTGTGACTTAATTCGTCAAATCCACAAGAGGGAAACTTCTTTGGAATCTCAATTATTCCCAGACTCATAAAGGGTTTCAATAAATAGGTATGTATTCGGGAATCATTTGAAAATAAGCTGTAGACATCATGAGACTTCATCTATAAATACTTCAGTATGCATCTCCTGAGAGTAAATCCTTTTTCCTCCATAACCACAATAACCCAAGAAAATTACTAATTCTCGAATATCATGTAATACCAATCCATGCTCAAATTTCCCCAACTGCCTCCCAGAATGTCTTTTATAACTCAGCCTCAACTATTTTGACCCACAAACTCACCCGTTTGATTAAGGAAAACCCCAAGACGCCCTGGAGAGTCTGAAACTCTATTACCCATTGAAGATTACTACATTCTTCACAGCCACAAATACTTTTATTAGTTTTATTTTCCGAAATTAGTCTTAATGCCACAGCAGGCTTCTCTTCACATTTCAAATATGAAATTATAATACCGAATATACTTTCTCAAACATCATCACTCTTCCTCCACTGACAGAAATAACTGTTTAAACAAGATGAACTTTCATAAAAAAAAAAAAAGTGCCATTTAACCCAGAGACTCCATGATTCTACCCTATAGTTTTAGAAATTCTCCATGTTCTGAGAACAACTTAATACCACCATTGCCACACCTAAGCCATAAATAAGGAACTAATTCTCCCTCCCTGGACTATTCTGTGTAACACTGGAATCTAGCTGAAATCCCACATTCACTTGGGCAAGTTACCCAATTTGTCTATGTCTTACTTTCCTTCTCTGTAAAACAGGTATGATATGAGTACCTAAATCATATTGGCTGTTTTGAAGATTGAATGAGACCACACACACGTAGTTTAGGGGCATATATGTACACATATAGGTGTAAGTTCATATATATATCTAAGCGCACATAATATATCCAATAATTGATGCTATTGTTGCTATAATGCTAGGCACATAAGTTTAAAAATGTCTCATTTTCTTCAGCCCATTACATATATTCAATACATATCAACAATCAATTGAAAGCATCAGACAAAACCACAATCCAGACACTTAGAAAATTTTGAAATGAGAAATATCTATTTTATACATATGTATTTTTTTTAACTGATCTTAGGAGAAAATATATACATATTTTGATATTTGACAGTAATCACCCACATACCTTGGATTAAATTTTGCTTCTTCCATCATTTTTTTAAAATCTTCCTTGGCTTGCATTATTTTGTTTTTCTTTTCCCTGCGTTCTTCCTCTGCCCTGGTCTTTACATACTGATCAAATACCTATCACAAAAATAAACCAATTTGACAAATTAGTCTTTCAGGTAATCTAAGTACCAAATTATGGAATCTACAAAAAAAATACTAAGTCAATATCTTTGCCCAAACTATAATATATACCTATAATTAATTATAGGTAACTCAATTATATGCAGATTATCTACAGCAAGTCTCACTCTAAAGCTGCAGTTGACAGTAATACACAAGCACACAGTCCTCTATGTAGGCTTCCTAAACAGAAAAAAGTTAAAACGCCCCTTTAATTTTTATTTTCCCTAATCACAAACTGAATACATGTTTATTAAAAAAATCTCAAGCAATTTAGAAATGTTTAAGAGAAATCAGTCACAACATTAACAGTACTGGCATCTATAGTTTAATTTTATTTCTGTGCTTCTCTTTAAGACATCACTATTTTCACCAAAATGTAATCATACTTTACAACTATTCTGTATTTTTCCCCTCTTAATAATATATAGTCAAGATGACGTACTGAACATGCACACTTATTTCCTGCCTTCTTCAAACACCAATGAAATGACAGTAGAGGAATTTCTTTTTTTAAGTCACAAACCAACAAGAACAGGAAAATGAGAAAAAGAGAAGCAGCAACTCTGAAGTTGAAAAGCAAATGGACAAGCAGCAAAGGATTTAGCAGATATGAGAAAGTTGACCCTAACCCATCAGTAAAGAAAACAAAGGAACCAATTATTTTTACTAGAGAATCCTCAGTTAAGGAATTGGTAGCACCGGATAGCCATGGAATTGAGGGGACAGTACAGCTACAATATGGCTGTTTAAGAAACAGTTCAATCACTAGACGCCTCCTCGCCAACTTTATGTATCTGGGTCACTGCCACTTCTGAACCTCAGTAAAAGGCAAGCGGTTAGTCTCTAGAGGAAGAATTGACAAAATCATGATCTGCTGGCCAAATCCAGCCTGCTGCCTGTTTTTATACAGCCCAAGAATAGTTTTGACATTTTTAAATGATTGGATAGAAAAACAATAGAAAATTTCATGACACATGAAAATTAAACGAAATCAAATTTCAGTGTCCATAAATAAAGCTTTCTTTGAACACAGTCATGTTTACTCCTTTACAGATACCTATGGACGCTTCTGAACTACAACAGAGTTACACAATTGTGACAGAGACCATTTGGCCCACAAAGGCTAAAATATTTATCTGACCCTTTATGTTAAAAACTTACTGACCCCTGCTCTATAAAGTAAAACACTGTTTCTGGACTCGGGGAACATGAATTGGGAATGAGGTATACCCGACTGAGAACAGAGGGAATTAAGGAAACATTTATACAACAAATATTCTAACATAGTTCTTTCAGAACCAAAGCTTCAAGAACTGTACCCTCCAGCCAGGAGGTCAGAGTCCTTATGAGGAATCTGACCTGCCTAAAAATTATTTGCTTCAGGGGGTTCTCAACAAACCAGCCTAAGTGCAACCTCAGCACTTTCGACGTTTTGGGCTAGATAATGTTTAGCAGCATCCCTAGCCACTAGACGACAGCAGCACCCCCTCAGCTGTGACAACCAAACTGCCTCTGGTTGAGAACCACTGCTCTACAATAAAGCCCACAATCGTGAGAGCCCACCCAGATGCTAAGATCTCCCAAACAGTGTTCTAGTGCCTCATTCCTAATCACGAGAAGTCAGGGTCAACAAGACATCTAAGGAACTCTCCAACATTAAAAACACAGACCAAAACAGAAAAAACTTAACAGAAACAGACTATGCAAGAAAACAAAAACTTAAAACAAGAAAAATCCTAAATGATCTAATAGAACTAGGAAAAGATACTGAAACTATAAAACAAGAAAACCTCAAAGAACAAAAAAAGAACTCCTGGATATTAAAAAATGACGGAAGAAATGAAAAGTCTAATTAAGGGTTAGACAATAAAGGTGAGAAAGTCATCCAGACAGTTTAAAAAGACGGAGGAAGAAAACAGGAGAGAAAGGTAAGAAAAATTTGAGGACCACCCCAGAAGGGCAAATTCTCTGTCCCAGAATGAAAAAATAAAGAACAAAGCTGGAAAAAAATCAAAAAAAGTAATGCAAGAAAATCTGCCAGAATCTAAAGGCAGGAGTTTCCATATTGAAAGGGCCACCGAGTGCCCAGCACAATAGGCCTTTCCACCAGGGTACATAAGAAATTTCGGAACACTAAAGACTACGGAGGATCCTACATTCTTACAGGGAAGGAAAGTCAGTCAGTCTACATACAAAGGAACAGGTAACAGAATGGCTTCAAAAACGACACCGAAAACTAGAAGCAGAGCAATGTCTTCAAATCCTGAAGCAAAAAGATTTCCAACTTCAAATTCCTTAGCCAACCAAGTAATTCCCAATAAGGGTACAATAAATACGTTTTAAATATGTAAGGCCTCAACAGTTTATTTCCTATAGGTATTCTCTCAAGAAGCTATTACAGGGAAGGAATGCATCAAAAGGGAGTAAAACAAGAAAGAAAAGACTTACGATATATGAACAGGTCAACTCCCCTGCTGCCCACCCCGCAAAAAACAGAGACATAGGAAATCCCCAGGATGATGGTAAAGTGCTGTCATCCTCAAAAGTGACAGCTGTACATCAGGTGTAGAGGGCAATCAGTCCAGACTGAAGCAAATCAGAAGGCTCTGGAAGAAATGACTTCAGAAAGATAAAACTGGGCAGCAGTCTAATATTTTTCCTAACATATCTTATAGAACTATTTGGCTCTTTAAATATGTGCACTTACATTTTTGGAAAAAGTGAAACAACAAAAAATGTTTTCTTTAAAATACCTTAAACATCTTTCCAGGTCAGTCCAGAATATCTACCAATCTTTAAAAGCTGTATAGAAATATCTTTAATTATCTCACCAGTCTGCTGCTAATCATGCAGGTCATTTTCAAATCATGAAAGTATCTGCATGCTGATGGGAGGGGGAAAGAAGTTGTTTCCAATCCCTCTCTCCTTTCTCATTATATACTTTTTTCTTTTCTTACTGTTTTTTTTGGTGAGGAGGATTGGCCCTGAGCTAACATCTGTTGCCAATCTTCCTCTTTTTGCTTGAGGAAGACTGTGAGCTAAATCTGTGCCAATCTTCCTCTATTTTGTATATGGGACGCCACCAGAGCATGGCTTGTTCAGCAGTGTGTAGGTCTGCACCCGGCATCCAAACCCCTGAGCCCCAGACCACTGAAGTGAAGTGCACGAACTTAACCACTACTTCACCCGGCCAGCCCCATATTATTCATTTTTAAATTTGTCAAAACAAATTAAAACATTTCTGATCCCTTAAGCAACCTTTTATCAAAAACAAGATTAAATAAGGAAACTCCTAAGTTAAAATTTTCAGCTATGATTATATAAAACACATCTTTTATAGTGATGTGAAATATGTGAATCTACAGATAACCAGAAAAAGAACTGAAAGAGATATAATTTTAGATGGGGCATTTTCAATGAATGAGAACCTTTAAGTAGAGTTTTTATTTAAAATAGACTATGGGTCGGCCCCGTCGCCAAGTGGTTAAGAATGTGCACTCTGCTTCGGCGGCCCAGGGTTTCGCTGGTTTGGATCCTGGGCGCAGACATGGCACCGCTCATCAGGCCATGCTGAGGTGGCGTCCCCTATAGCACAACCAGAGGCACTCACAACTAGAATATACAACTACGTACCTGGTTGGGGCGGGAGGTGCTTTGGGGAGAAGTAAAAAAAAAAAAAAGAGAGAGAGAGAAGATTGGCAACAGATGTTAGCACAGGTGCCAATCTTTAAATTAAAAAAAAAATTCCAATACATAGAATAATACTTGATACTTTTCTCTTTTTAAGTGTTAAGGAGTTAGCACCATCAGCTTACAAAATGGCTCCAAAATTAGGAAAGAATTTTAGTTTTCAATATATACTTGTAATTTTACTCATTCAGGAACTATAACGCTCAGTGCCATGAAGAATAAGTCATAAGAGTTCTAAAGTAAGTCTTCAGGGATATTTTGGTTAAGCATTGTTTCAGGAACTACACATAGAGCAACGCACAAGACTAAGTTTCTGCCCTCACAGAATTTATACTCTGCAGTAGGAGAAAGATGATAAACAAGATAATTTTAGATAATTACAACTATGAGTGCTACGAAGAAAGTAAAGAAAGCAAAGAGATAGGCTGATCGAAAGGCATCTGGACAAGTACCTGAATGAAATGGTAAGAGCCAGCTCTGCAAACACCCGGAGAAAAACATTCCAGGTAGCAGGAATACCAAGTAGAAGGTGCCTGGCTTGTTCAAGGCACAATCAAGGCCAGTGCGGCTAGGATGAATAAATGTGAGCAAACAGTTTCAAGAAGTATGCAGGCATGACTGCGTGTAGAATCATGAAAAATAGTTTCAATTTTATCCTAAATGACCCGGGAAGCACTGCACAGTTTTTAAGCAAGGAAACACTGCCTTCATTTGTCAATTAAACTTCAAAATTAATCTGGCTGCTGTGAGGAAAAAGAAGTGACTGCACAGGAGCGAGAATGGAAGGATGCAAGGAAATCAATCAGGGGCTACACAGATGATGAGAATCTGTCATGAGGGCTTTTAGAGTGTTACTGGGGGAAATGCTGAATAAGAGGTTGGATTTACAAAAGTTTTTGGAGGTAGATTTTGCTGACAGACTTGAAAGGTGCAGTGAGGAAAAGAACGAAGGCTAATTTATAGGTGTTGATAGGGCCATCAACTCAGGTGAGAATGAGACCATCACACAAATTTAAAATTAAAAGAAAAAGATTACTGTGCTTGAAATGCAGGTGTAAATATATTTGGTAAGTCATGTCTTTCTATTACAAGGACTAAAATACATGTCTGGCACCGTAAATTTCCTCTCTTCATAAAAAGTCTATGTTTAGACCTACGTACATAACGCAACAACCTATGTAGAGAATTATTCCAACCATTAAATTACGGAAGATGGATACTACTGTTACCAAACGAAATCTGGTAGCTCAACAGCACTGCAGTAAGTGGTTCAACATACTCACCATTTTACAGAGATCAGTGACGGGGTGATCCAGGTAACTCAGAAATTATGTAAGTTGGAAGTGTGTAATGCTTTAGAGGAAGAAGCAATCACCATGAGATGATATGTGTCACTGAATCATCATGAGAATGGTAACTCAGTAACAAGGCAACTCTAGTTCACCAGAGACCCTGAAGCATCCACCATTTCTCTAAGTTTATAATGAAAAGACATTTTAACAAACGCCACTTAGATGCGGATTTTGTGTGTGTAGCGTGTGTGAGACATAAACATGTCTTCAAGTGTTGTCCATCCACAATACACACACATATATAAGTACAACAGCACACAACAGTCAGGAAGGCTATAAAGCAGTGTTCCATAGTGGTCCTATATGTTGGGCAAGACAGTAGGTGGGGTTTTTTTCCTTCCTACTCATCTGTATTTTGTTATTTTCCTACTCTGAATTTGCATCATACATCCGATAAAAAGTAAATTAATAAATGCATTTGAAATGAATTTTGAAAACTTCTTTAGATATAACCTCAGTGTATATGAGGCATAAGGACAAAATGTGCATAAGGCAATAGCCACATCCATAAGGGCAAAAATATTAAGTATTTCTGAGGCAGAAATGTCCACACTGAGGATGACTATGTTCTAAGATCTGAGACTGTTTTTAAAGTACCACGTTAGGGGAAAAAAAGGGATGGTACTTTATTCCTGACAATTTAAAAATTATGCTGGCAAAGGATATACATTTCTTAAATAACGTTGTTTTCCTTTTACCTGTTTTCTCTCTTTAGGATTGAGAAGTAAGTACCGAGGATCAAAAACTATCTTGTGCAACTCCTTCTCCCATGTTGAAAAAGCAGACACCTTTAAAATAAAATATGTATTGCCTCATAATTAAATTTGCTCTAAAAACATAAAGGTCATATAATTTTGCTTGAAATCTACAGGACATCTGCTTAAAAAGGAGACATAATAAAAACCATACTGAAGTTTCCATCACTAATAAATGACAAACAGTGGGAGGTTAGCAATTGCAAATTTCCACACTAATTGGCTCTGAACATTTCTATATTATATAGAAATAACACACATTTAATTACTCATTAAAATAACCACTACTGTGTGACATTTTAAAAACCAGTACATCAGAAAAAGCCTTGAAGATTTGCATTTTGATTTCCCATGCTTGCTCCAATCTTGTGAACAAAATGCTGTGATTCAAAATTGAACAATTTTACTTATTCAAATGAATCTGTGAATATAACCAAAAGGTTGAAATCTCTTCTCAATTAAGCTTCATTAACAATAATATCATAAAGTACCAGTTCTCCTTCAACCAAAAGCCATTCTGAAAATATTAAAGGAAGAATCATATAAACCTTACCTATCCCAAGTAGTCCGCCATTCTGTAATGTTAATACTCGTCTTATTATTACTCACCAAAATTTAATGACCCAATAAATGTTAAATGTTATTTGTACTTAAAAGGATAGTAAAATGGCATTTAGTTAAACATGATATGATTAGCCAAGGAAAAGGCTTTTGAAAAAGAGTACAGTAATTTGATAGGCTTCCCTTATGCCCCCCCCACAACATGAGCACTAACCTTAGATTTGACCTTTTAGCAAGACATATTTATATTACTTATACAAAACAGAAATATCTCCCCCAAAGATTGTTTTCTGACCCCTCTCTCTAGCAGCATGTCCTTGAACTGCTTCATTCGGGCCTCCAGAGGGACAATGGCCCTTTCTCGGGCAGCTTTAATTTCAGCTTCCATGGCAGCTTCTTTCTCTGAATCTATGTCTTTATTATCGTCTCTCCTATAAAAAATAAAATATAAAGCATGAACTGACAAAAATACTAATAAGGAATCTTACTAAAATCTTAAAAGCAATGGAATATTCAAGACTCACTACTGAGCAGCATATTTTTGGCAAAAACAAATTATATTGAGGGTTTCAAATGAACTCTAAGGGATAAGCGACTTTCATTACAATAATAATAATATTACAGTGAGCTTCTAATGATGTTACAGTGGCTACTTTGTTAGGAAAAATATATACCTTTAATGTGCTATCTCTCCCTGACACTAGTTGATACACAAAATGAACTAGCTTACTTAAAAAAAAACCTTATCTAACATTCCAGTAAAAGTCTATGTTAGAATCAAACAGTACAGAAAGTAATTTTTAGTTCTTGAAATGATACAGGAAAAACAGCATTTTCCAAAATGTTTTACAGTATAAATACATGAAAGATTTTTAAAAATCTAATAAAAATTGGTATAAGTCTTAGTAATCGCAAATATTTATTTTGAAAATAAAATTAAAATATCTGCAAACTCGGCCAAGTGGATATGTGAGATATATACCTTACCTACCTGACATTTTTTTTACTCACTTTCTGGGTGATAAGTGGAGATTTAAGTTGAAGGACAGGTCCCAGAGAGCAACATAGGCCCAGGAGTAGTTAGGTGGAATTAGAACTGTTCATCAATGACTAAACTACTTCTTGTTCCTCCAAAAATGCACCTCAGGGCTAAGAGCAACACTGTTGCTGTATGGTACTCAAGTGAGATTGCAAACATGAAATCAAGTCACCTCTCAAACATCTGCACTATGAAGAAGGCCAGTTCATGTAAATAATCAAAAAAGTAATTCAATAATAGTCAGGTGTGTGTGAGCAGATCTTCCTTCTTAAATATGATCTGCTAAGTATTAAAATAAAATTGGTTCATATTCCCTACATAAACTTAAGGGAATTAGGAAACCAGAACATCAAGAAAATTCAAAAGCATGCTATATAGGGAAGTGAAGGTAGCCCAGGAGATTTAAATGAAACTAAGGCTAACCCACAGATATGGCAAGTGAGAGGTAATTAAAAACTTAGGGAAGGAATCAAAAGAAAGAGAAGACTTAGTCCGGGACCTGCAGGAACTTAGCGAGATAGTCTGTGACCTACGATATGCACAAAACAAACAGGTAAAAGCAATTTGCCAAACAATATACCCTCTTATAATAATTTATTTAAGAACTATTTAAAATAGTTAAAGAGTTAAAAGACATCCAAGAAATATAACTAATGAAAACAAATAACCTTTACAGAATTATACTAAATGAAAATGTCACAATACAAACTATCACTATCTATCTCAATAAAAGAAATAAAGAAAAACTAAGCCAGGAAAAATAGGCTTTTAGCTTTGTACCTAAATAGAGAAGCTCGGGCAATCCACATAAAGGACTTCTTTGACATTCTCCTGATAAAAGCAGTTAAAAACCTTACAGAGTTGTCTATAAGAACAAACAATTAAAAACAACCTAAAAGTTTAACATTGTAGGAACATCCAAAATTATGGTACATAAACAGAATGAATACAGTCATTTATAGTAATTAAGAAAACAAATGTCTTATTCTAGATTTGTTTAAAAAAGAACACAAAATCAGTTGATTACAACTAAATAAAAATACTCATACATTTGGTCAAAAACCAAAAAGCCAACTGCAAAAATGAAAAGAACTGTAACTGTGGCCGATTATGAATGACTCTCTTTAATATCTTAATTTCTTTAAGTTTGTTGCCAACAAAGAAATTTTTAAAAGAACCACCCTTGACAGGGGTTGTCTTACTGATTTCTCTTTGCCATAATTTGGCTGCATTCAATCTGTCCTTTTTAGATAAGGACTATAATCAACCAGTCTCAGATAATATCTTCAAACTTTCCTTTTTGCTGCTAAATAATGGTCCCATTCCTCCCCCACCCACACACAAACACCCTCTACCCCACCCTTCCACCTCCCATAATTACTAACATTTATATTTTACCCAACTCTAGAGCACTGGCCAAGCTAATGCTTGTACTTATAGCAGTCTCCTTCTCTTAGAGCACTTTCTAAGTTCATGAGTTCCCTCTTCACCACAAGTATGACCACAGACTCAAGGACTAGGGAAGCAACAAGCATATAACAAGAGAAGTCTCTGTATTTATGAGATTTCTGGAATAGTGCCTTTTGGGGTATATATTAGGTAGGAAACTTATAAAATTCAGGCCTAATGAATGTCTGAAAATAATTTATCAACTAACTCCTAAATGTCACTTGGCTTCAAAATACATATTTGAATAACCAAATCTTTTGGAAATCTAGCAACAGAAGAACATCATTTCTACATTGTAAGCAAAGCTTTTAATTAATATCAGGCCTAAGAGAGCAATCATGACTCATGTGTCCTAACAACATACACATTACCTGTCTCAATCACAAACTGACTGCGACCTAATCAACTTTTAAAAGCTAAACTCTACCTGAATTACATAAACTGTAGGTATTACTTACTTCCGTTTTTTGGCTTTAACAGGTTCATCTTCATTAATTTCTTCCATTAATTCTTGTTCTTCTTTAACTGTAAGATAAAATTTAATTAAACTCTGTCAGAATAGAAAGAAGCAAGTAACAACTGAAATACTTAGGTATGACTCCTCCTGCTATCCACTACCAGATGACTTGCTTTAATAGCATTTTAAGAAGCTGCAATTTATAGTTAGTCCACTCACTTGCACTCATAGAGAACTGCCACTTCTGGATGGACAGCATTGTCGGGGTCGGGTGCCCTGGCAAAAACATTTCAAATATTATTATCAATAGTTATATGCATATATTACACAATCTTTTCTTTTAAAAAATTTTTATATAAATCCCATAACATTCAGTCCTTAATAAAACAGTAAATAAAGAATAATTCTACATCTCCTCTATTAATCCTCCCTTTATATAAAATTTTCAATTCATTATGAAATGATTCTTTATGATGCACGTATTTATCAAATAAATGGATTTAATATTTGAAAACAGATTCATAAAAACAAAAGCAAATCACATACTTTCTTGGCAGGATTCAATACTATAGTTATAAAGTATTATCAATATCACAGCTATAAAACAGATATTGCTGGAGGGGAAAAACTGGTGCCTACTATCTTTAGCCCCAGGGAGGTAAAGTTCCACTGACTTATAAATCACTTGTAAACAGAAAACGTTAGTAAAACATATATACAATCCATGACGATTTCTGAATTAATATGAATGACATATATTAGGGGTTGTTTCATTTGAAGTACTAAATGATTTATTTATCATGCTTCTATACTACAAGGGGAGATTTTATAAAAACACAATCATATCAATACAAGTGCAAATTACCACTGAAACATATGCAATAAAAATTAGGTACACATATTTGCCTTCATTATATATACTGGAATGCTGTCTGAACATGAGGGAGATTAAAAGATAATCAAGGTTTAAGTGTCTCTATACTCTCAGGAATAAGGATTACCCTCCCTCAATTTCAACTAGCTTAAGACTAAGCTTTTGTATTTTTACAAAATTTTGTATTTCACAAGATTTTAGTAAACAATAAAATATTTTAAAAATACTCTGTATGGTTATGATTATTTCAAAAAATATATGACTAGTCACAAAAGGTGCTAAAAGGCTCACTGAGGGGTGTTTCAGTATATTACTGAAATCTTGAAGCATGAAGTAAGCATCAGTCATACCAATGTATCTTGTGCTAACTGAAATCTTGACAAGAAGTTAGAAGATATATATATAAATATTTTACAAAAAATAATTTTATCCAAATTCTCTATTTTTTCTATCTCTATTACTGAACTCAAATTAGCATTATCAGTCTATTTTCCATTTCTCAAATTTCTTATATTCCTTGAAAATAGAAAGTTTTTCTCAATGGCCTCACATTTTCTGTCAAAACATGAAAAGAACCTTAAAATTGGAGGATAAATTCCTAATTTAAAACTTACTTAGTTTCTTCACTTCTTCCATTCCTTTTTTATGAGGGGGCTCCTGAATGATTTTGTCAACATCCGCCCTTCCAATCAGATCATCAGGTCGGTCCCACATAGAAAGACGAGTGGTAGGATTATAAAAGAAGACCCGCTCATCACCAGTCCAAACAACACACCTAAGAATTGATTCAAATATTTTCTTATGTTATGGAAAATGCAGTGTTTTCTTTCTTTTTTTTTTTTTGAGGAAGATTAGCCCTAAGCTAACTGCTGCCAATCCTCCTCCTTTGGCTGAGGAAGGCTGGCCCTGAGCTAATATCCATGTCCATCTTCCTCTACTTTATACGTGGGATGCCTACCACAGCACGGCTTGCCAAGCAGTGCCATGTCTGCACCTGGGATCGAACCGGCAAACCCCAGGCCACCGAAGCAGAACGTGTGAACTTAACTTCTGCACCACCAGGCCGGCCCCTGGAAAATGTTTTATAAGTAGGTCTTTTACTGTCATCCTGTCAAAAGGGGAGGTGGTGGTAGGGAAGGACATGTCCATCTTAATACTTATTTATAGAAAACCAAGTATGGTTTTTAGAGCAGAAGAGAGTTGATTGGCTAAGGTTAAAACAGCAACTTAACATATTAATTGATAAAACCAGGGAAAACAAAGCAATTTGTGATCGGGGTTTAGAATGCTCAGGAACTTGGTTTGGCACACTAAATTTGAAAGTCCTACATTTTAACCTATTACAACGGACAAGTTCAATGGCAACAAATGATAATGCAAATAAGCAGTTCTAAAGCTAAAGAACAGACCATAGAAACCTAGATATTATGTAATACTTAATACTTCCTACCAAACCAGAATTACATGGTCAAATGCAAACTTCTGTGAAGCCTTTAATATCTGATTATATCTGGTATAAGAAATAGAGAGAAGTGCCCATTATGCTATGGCACTGTAGCCCATACAGCCCACTTTTCCTGTTAATTATGACTAGAAATTCAGACAAAATACAAAAAACAAGTACATGAGGACTCTGAACAAAATTTAAAAAAAATAAATAGAAGTATGGAGAGTCAAAATTCAGAGAAGGAAATGCAAGGGTGTAAATTTCCCATTTCCCTCCCTCAACCCTCTGCCCTGAGAGTGCCACAGTGGCATGGTGGCAGTAGCAAAGGCAGCTAAAACTCCAAGAGAAATCAGGTCTTTGTGGCCAGATAATCAAAAGTTAATCAATAGCTGCCAAGCCCAAGGTAATGTAGATGTTGAAATTATCAGACAAAGCCTCTATTATTGAAATAATTTAAAAGCAGCAACTATAATGAGGCTTTATGAGATAAAGAAAAACAAACTTGAACAAAAAGATAGAAGTCCTGAGCAGAGAAATAGAAACTGTAAAAAAACAAAAACAAAAAATCCCAGAAATTTTAGAAATGAAAAATACAACTGAAATTAAATTTTTCTGGATTGGCTCAAGAGCAGAACGGAGATGAAAGAGGAATGATCAGTGAATTAGAAGATAGATCAATAATTATCCCATCTGAAGAATGGGGTGGGGGGGGTAAAAAAAAAGGAATGAGTAGAGTCTCAGGAACCTATAGGACTATATCAAAATGCCTAATACACATGTCATTGGGTTCTCAGAAGAAGAGGATATTGGGGGCAGAAAAAAGGTTGAAGACATAATGACCAAAAAACATCTCCAAATTTGGTAAAAGACAAATATTAAAGAAGCTCAGTGAACCCCAAATAGGACAAACTTTGAGAAAACCATGCTTAGACACAACATGATCAAACAGATGAAGAAAAATCCGTAATAGCAGCTAAGAAAAAAACATGGCAGAATACAAACAGGGGAACAAGTCCAATGACCATGGATTTCTTACCAGAAACCACAGAGGCAAGAATACAGTAAAAGAGCTAAACAGTTAAAGTTCTGGGAAAAAAGAACTGCCAACCCAGAACTCTCTACACAGTGAAAATATCCTTCAGGGACAAGGGCAAAAAAGATATTCTCAGAAGAAGGAAAACTAAGAGATTTCATCTCCAGCAGACTTGCTCTATAAGAAAGTTTTTCAAGGCTGAAAGAAAATGAAACTAAAGGAAAACCTGGATCTTCAGGAATGAAGGGGAGAAAACAAATGGTAAATATCAAAGATATTGTTTTCCTAAGTTATTTAAAATATGTGTGAAAATTATAACAGTCTGGTGGAGTTTTCAATGCATGTAGAAGTAATACATACGACAACTATAACATAAAGGTTAGCGGGTATGGGATTAAAAAAGAACCTACACCGTCAGTTCCCAAACATGGACCCACACCACTTGTCAGCTGCAGCAGTGACCCACATACAAAATAGAGGAAGATCAGCACAGATATTAGCTCAGGTTGCATCTTCCTCAGAAAAAAAAAAAAAAAAAAAAAGAAGAACCTATATGGTAGCTATGTTTCCATATTTTATATGAAGTGGTACAATAATAACTTCAAGTAGACTATAACGGTTAGGTGTGTAACACCTAGAACTAAAAAATAATGCAGAGATATCACCAGAAAGCCAACAAATAAATTATTAAATGGAATGCTAAAATATATTCAAGTAATTCAATTGAAGGTAGTAGACGAGGAAGAGAGTAACAAAAAACAGAAAACAAAAGATCTAAAACCAACCATAATGAAAAATTACATTAATGCTAATAGTCTAAACACTCCAATTAAAAAGCAAGACACTACTATAAGCTGTCTTAGGAGACAAACTTTAAATATAAAGCCATAGAAATGCTGAAAGTAAATGGACAGAAAAAGATATACCACACAATTAGCATAAAGATAGGAATGGCTATTTTAATAACAGATGAAACAGACTTCAAGACAAACGGTATTACAGGAGACAAAGAGAATCATTTCATAACAATAAAAAAGACAATCAGCAACAAGTAATCATTGTAAAAGGTGTATAAGTCTATTAACAGAGCCTCAAAACAGATGAAGAACGGACTAAATTAAAGAAAGAGAAAATTACACAATTATAGTAGATTAATCCCACTATTTCTGAGCAATTGATAGACCAATCAGACCCAAAAACAAACAGTACTAAGACAGATCATGTGCTGAATAATAAAAAAAGTCTTAATGAATTTGAAAGTACCAAAATCACATTCTCTGACCACAGGGCAAGTGTATCAGTAACAGTAAGACATCTAGAAAACCCCCAAATTCTGGAAATCAAACAACAGCCTTCTATATAATTCATGAGTCAAAGACAAAATCAAAAAGTAAATTTTAAAATAATATGAACTGAATGGCAATGAAAATACAACACATCAAAACTTGTATGATGCTGCTAAAGCAGTGATTAAAAGGAAACTATGGCTTTAAAAGCTTGTATCAGAAAAGGAGAAATAACTAACACTAATGACCTAAGAGTTCCTCATAAGAAACTGGGAAAAGAAGTGTAAAGGAAACCCAAAGCAAGCAGAAGGAAAGAAATAATAGAGTAGAAATCAATTAAAAAAAAAAGACAACCAGCCCAAAGCTGGTCTTTTAAAAGACCAACAAAACTGGCAAACTCCTAGCTAGACTGATCAAGAAAAGAGAACACATCCCCACTATCTGGAAAGGAAAAAGGGGTTATCACCACAGATCATAGAGACTTTTAAAGGACATTAAGAGAATAATATGAACAAATTCAACAACTTAAGACAAAAGAAGCAAATTTCTTGAAAAATAGAACTTACCAAAACTGACAGAAGAAACAAAAAATCTGAATAGTCCTATAGCTATTAAAGAAGTTTAATATATTACCAAAAACCTTCCCCAAAAGAAAACTCTAGTTCCAGATGGTTTTATTTGTTAACTCTATAAAATCTTAAGGAAAAAGTAACACCATCGTACAAACTTTCTCAGTAAATAGAGAAGTAGAAATCACCAATCACCACCCAAGTCATTTTATGAAACCAGCATAACCTAATGCCAAAACCTAACAAAAACATTACAAAACGACAGAACAATATCCCACATGAGTATAGATGTAAAATCATTAATAAAACATTAGCAAATCAAATCAAATCCAACAATATAGTAAAAAAAAGGTTAGAGATTGGCCCCATGGCCGAGTGGTTAAAGTTCTGCATGTTCCGCTTTAGTGGCCCGGGTTCACAGGTTCAGATCCTGGGCACGGACCTACTCCACTCACTGGCCGTGCTGCGGAGGCATCCCACATACAAAATAGAGGAAGACTGGCACAGATATTAGCTCAGGGTGAATCTTCCTCACCAAAAAAAAAAAGGTTAATTTACTATGACAAGGTTTATTCTAGACAGGCAAAGCTAGTTTAACATTTAAAAAATCAATGTAATTCACTATATTTTAAAGAATGAAGGAATAAATCTAACTCTTTTCAAAAGATGCAGATTTATGATAAAAACACTAGCAAACAGAATAGTAGGGAACTTCCTCAAACTAATGGAGACTATCTATGAAAAACCTATAGCTAATATTATATCTGACAGTAAAAGACTGAATTGTCTCCTTCCTGATATCAGAAACAAGGCAAGAATGCCTACTTTCACCTCTTCTATTTAGCATTGCACTGACATTCCTAATAAGGAGAGAAAAAGTAATAAAAGGCACTAAAAATCAGAGAATAAGAGATAAAAGTGCTCCTATGTGCAGATGATATGATTGTTTGCATAAAAAATCTCAGGGAATCCACAAAACTACTACAATAAATGAATTTAGCAAGATTCAAGGCTACAAAGTAAACATACAAAAATTAATTATATTCTTACATACTAACAGTAATCAACTGGAAAATGAAATTTTTAAAAAATCTAATTTGCAACAGCATCAGAAAAAGTACCTGGGACTAAATCTAACAAAATTTGTCCAAGACTCTACACTGAACACTGCTGAAATAAATGGAAAGATCTGTTCATGGATTAGACAACTCAATATCGTGAAGACGTGAAATCTCCCCAATTTATCTACAGATTCAATGCAAAATTCATTCAGTCAAAATTCCAGCAGGATTCTTCTTTTGATAGAAAGTAACAAGCTATTTCCAAAATTTACATGGAAATGCAAAGAATATAGATAAACCAAGTTAAAGTTTTTAAAAATTGACCCTACCTGATTTCAAAGCCTAAGTTTCCATAATCAAAACAATTTGGTATTGGCAA